TTTTTTCACTTGTGCCTTTCAGGTGAACGACAGCCACTGACCGACAAGAACAAAAGCGACCCGGGAAACTTGGGCAAAAGCCTCGATCCTGTGTATCAATCCGTGAATCCGTGAAAACCCATCTTTTCAGCCCTTTGGACGCCCATTGGACCAAGGTCGGATAACGGTGACTGAGTAACCAGTCAGCGAACAAAAAGCGCCCCAGCGAAAAAAACCAAGATGCTTTGGTGTCCGTAAATGAAGGCGGGTTGACATACACGCGTTTCGTTTCTACATACAGCATATTTGGGCATTTGCACCCGATAAACGGGCGTCCATCTAGGAGGCCCCTACATCACCAACCTACCAGTGAAAAGAGCAAAGCCCACTACTGTGGGGTTATTTATTAGTAGACACAAGTCGCCGAGCGTGACGGTAAATATGACATCTGAACACAATTTTTGAAAAAAGAACCTCCCCATGCGTGTCTTTAGAATTTCTTGGTCGTTGAGTGAATATTGAACAAAAGTGAGGTAACATTCAAAGATGTACCGTAATTTCCTCGGTAGCCCACATCTGCCATCAGGTGCTAGGGTGGTATCTGGACAACGAATCATAGACTATTTGCACGTTTCATCAGTAATATACACCGTTATACTTAGCACTCTGTGCCAAATACGTGGACATAAGTCATGCCGTCGGCGTCAGCTGTGTCCGGTATATCAGAGCGCTTGATAAGCTTACACCCGGTGGCTCGCTGGAGAGTGTCCTTTTATCTGTCACAATATTTTGAACTGAAGCTGTATAACGCAGTGACCTAATGGTAGAGAAGTATCACTGCCAGCTTATTCGGGCTGGTCAGCATGCATGATGGAACGGATTCGCCAGGTTGTTCACCAATGTAGGTTTCAGTCACGAATCCAACTGCCGGGCAAAAGACTGCCGATCTCCATCCGAGAACTGCGGAAAATGAGTACAGTCGCATTCCTGATTTACACAACGGGCATCGGGAAGAAAAATCCCCAATCAGATCACGGTCGGTACTAAGTGAAAGGTTTTTGATGTGGTCACCCTCGCATGGTTGCAGCTGCACTTCAAGCGGTTAACCAGGTGGAGGATATCAAGGGCGTCATGGAAAGGGATCGCGAGCCAAAGATGGTGCTCTTTGTCTTCGTCCGCATCCACCATCAAAAGACTAGACCACTGACACAAAATTGAAGATGACCATACCCACTCTTGCCACTGCGTCCCAAATGACCGTGCTTCCGCCCTGCACTGCAGCGTTCAGCCAAAATCAAACACGCGAGATGGCCCACCCCGAGGCGTGATCGGGAAACTTGGGCAAAAGCCTCGATCCTGTGTATCAATCCGTGAATCCGTGAAAACCCATCTTTTCAGCCCTTTGGACGCCCATTGGACCAAGGTCGGATAACGGTGACTGAGTAACCAGTCAGCGAACAAAAAGCGCCCCAGCGAAAAAAACCAAGATGCTTTGGTGTCCGTAAATGAAGGCGGGTTGACATACACGCGTTTCGTTTCTACATACAGCATATTTGGGCATTTGCACCCGATAAACGGGCGTCCATCTAGGAGGCCCCTACATCACCAACCTACCAGTGAAAAGAGCAAAGCCCACTACTGTGGGGTTATTTATTAGTAGACACAAGTCGCCGAGCGTGACGGTAAATATGACATCTGAACACAATTTTTGAAAAAAGAACCTCCCCATGCGTGTCTTTAGAATTTCTTGGTCGTTGAGTGAATATTGAACAAAAGTGAGGTAACATTCAAAGATGTACCGTAATTTCCTCGGTAGCCCACATCTGCCATCAGGTGCTAGGGTGGTATCTGGACAACGAATCATAGACTATTTGCACGTTTCATCAGTAATATACACCGTTATACTTAGCACTCTGTGCCAAATACGTGGACATAAGTCATGCCGTCGGCGTCAGCTGTGTCCGGTATATCAGAGCGCTTGATAAGCTTACACCCGGTGGCTCGCTGGAGAGTGTCCTTTTATCTGTCACAATATTTTGAACTGAAGCTGTATAACGCAGTGACCTAATGGTAGAGAAGTATCACTGCCAGCTTATTCGGGCTGGTCAGCATGCATGATGGAACGGATTCGCCAGGTTGTTCACCAATGTAGGTTTCAGTCACGAATCCAACTGCCGGGCAAAAGACTGCCGATCTCCATCCGAGAACTGCGGAAAATGAGTACAGTCGCATTCCTGATTTACACAACGGGCATCGGGAAGAAAAATCCCCAATCAGATCACGGTCGGTACTAAGTGAAAGGTTTTTGATGTGGTCACCCTCGCATGGTTGCAGCTGCACTTCAAGCGGTTAACCAGGTGGAGGATATCAAGGGCGTCATGGAAAGGGATCGCGAGCCAAAGATGGTGCTCTTTGTCTTCGTCCGCATCCACCATCAAAAGACTAGACCATTGACACAAAATTGGAGATGACCATACCAACTTTTGTCACTGCGTCCCAAATGACCATGCTTCCGCCCTGCACTGCAGCGTTCAGTCAAAATCAAACACGCGAGATGGCCCGCCCCGAGGCGTGATCGCCTCTACCGTCAGTGCTCAGGGTCACACCCTTGAACCTGTGGTCAAAGAGAGTCAAGTGAGTTCAATCAATTCAGGTGTGTCCAAATTCGCACTTTATATTTTTTGAATACACGCCAGACACCTGCCACAGTAGAAAGGCACGTTTGGAATCGAGAGTGTAGAATCTTGATTGTTAGAGGGACAATTTGTTGCCTGATGCCTGCCAAAATATTATCCATAGTTACAGGCTCTTTAAGGCGTTATCCCTTCAAACTCATGGCTGCTAACAATTCATTCATCCATACAAAGGGTTTTTCTAAATTTACCGCTTACTTTTCGGCAAACTAGAACTTACCAGTCCATTTTTGGTGACTGATGACCTACCGTGGGATGTTATGCCGGCAGTAGTCTTCTTGAGGAGTCAACGAGTGAAGATCGATCTCCTGACGGGTATCTTCGAATTTGAGGGTGACCGAATAAACAAACATCCGACAAGTGTTGTCTAGCGATATCAACCTAACTGGACGTGCTGGCGTTGCGGCTGTCACCTACGACGAGCTTGTCAGCGAAGGCAGAAAAGAGATTTTTTGTTCGGATGAGACACGTGGAACACCGCATCGACAACGAAGATGCCACACCCATCCGCCTATCACCACGGCGCATCCCGATTCAGTATCAACACCAGTTCAATCAGATGGCTGGTGACATGCTGAACAAACTTTCCGCGCCACCGTGGACTTCGCCAGTAGTTTTGGTAAAGAAACCCGATGATTCTTTACGGTTGTGCGTTGACTATCGTAAGTTGGATACCATCACCCAAAGGGACCTTTTTCACACTATACCTCATGGACGATACCTTCGATGCCTTAAGAGGTGTGGCCTTGTTCAGCAAATTAAATGTTGCATCTGGGTACTGGCGAGTATGTTCAACTCGCTTCATGATTGGCCGCTCTCTCTGTGTGATCATTTTTTACGCAAGTAAAATACACATTTGACAATCTGCGCGCTGAAGAAAATATATGGGAAAGGTCTACTGGAATTTTCAAGATTCTTCAACAGTCCATCGGTCGTTTATTCATGGCAGCAACTAAATCTACATAGGTCCATGCACCCGCAGCTAGGCACATTCACCGCTCTGACAACTACGTCGGTTTATAAATGGGACCTTGCATCACAAATTATGTGGGCAGGCACAAAAAAGTTCTGAAACTGCTATATCTAACTTGGCTTTCGCTTCAGGGTATTGGTGTGAAAAAGTAACTCGTCAACAAAAACAAAAAAATTATTGCTAACAAGCGGGTGTAAAAGTAAGAGGGCCCCCTCTCATCTATTCAGACTACCGCTCAACTGATTGAATCATCGACTGGCCTGGCCAATTGATGATTCCCGTATTGGGATCTTAGTGCGATCTAGTGACTTCAGTAGGTTTCGGGCACTCCATGATTATTTCAAGGAATCTGGCCCTCCTGATGGAATCAAAGAAAACAAATTTCTTGCCTGGAAACCGAAGGAAGATTCTTTTTTGCGTGTTGAAAATTACACCGGGTTCTACTGAAAATGCTCCTACAGGGCTCGCATAAGGGCTGGGGTAAGAAGAGTGGAACCGTTTTCGGCAGTCCGCCCGGGGAGTTATATTTCATTACATGAAGTGGGATAGGATGGTGTTTGGGTATTGAACCAGAGGGAACCCTTCGGTGCAGATGTCACAACACGAAGGATAACTCGGACGTCAAAACTGAGCATCCGTATGTTTAGAGTCTGTAAGCTGGAAGTGGAGTCCGTCGGTTGGTCTGGACCACAGGATCGGCACTCAGGGTAAATCCGGTCGTTCTGGAAGCTGAAACTCTTAGTTGTGCCGTCGTTGCAACCTAATCAAGTGGCCTGCGAAGAGGTGTCACATCGCTGAGTGAATGAGAAAATGATGGAAGACCAGTTGGTAGCTCAAGTAACAAACTGGTATTACTCACGGCTTGACAACATGGATTCGTGCGCAAATGTCCGTTTCTGTCTACACTTTTCTTCCTGATGGCAAACGTATCCACCCCGAACGAAAAAGTTTCACGATCGGGCGGAGATGTTGAGGTATGACATCTTGATTTATAAACGGCCTCCGATTAAGCCCACTACACTTTGTCATCGATTAGAAGGAAGTCCTTTAAGTCCTTGCACTGGGTGGAAGGGTTGCTTGAGCAAGTTCAGTTTGGAAGAAGCACTACGCTAAAGCGCAGGGTTCTTAAACGCAAAGTAGCGTTAGGTATCAGCAAAGGGCCACGGAGCTTGGTGCTAAGAACACCGCCGACTCATATTAACGTAAAGTAGCCAGTGAATAACCTCCATATTACTCAACGCAGGTTTGTGAAGCCAATCCGAGGCTCAACACACACAGATGCCCGATAGGAATTGATAAGGTTTACGCCGATACTATAATTTTGACGTCACGATTGAGCAGCCACGAGTGTCAGCGCCTTATTAGCGTGAATATTTCGATTCAGTCTTCTGTCCGTCAGAGACGCGTCCGATGCCAAGTTATGTATGAATTCAGGGGTCTTGGAATGCTTATTTTAAAGTCCAAAAGCAGAAGACTACAGTTACTCTGCGAACGCTTAAGGGCCTGCGTGCGTTCAGCTTCATTGTTCTAAACGTTTTGTACGCCTATGGACACGGGACTCTATAAGAAGCACTAAAATGCTTGAGTTACTAAAATTCATTTTTCGTTTCCCAGAATTGTCCAAAAAGGCCAAGTAATCTTTGACGGGCTCAAGTGATAATCTTGTCAAAGCAATGGAGATAGCGGACGACTTCGATGCTATCCAGTATTTGGTCGTCCTAGAGTTAAGGGGAATGATTGGGTCTATAAAATAAAAGAGAGCGAAAACGCAGTGTCCTTCGCTTTTAAAATTATCAACAGCGGAAGGACAACCACTGAAGTCAATTGACAGCTCAGACGGGAACCCTTCGGTGCAGATGTCACAACACGAAGGATAACTCGGACGTCAAAACTGAGCATCCGTATGTTTAGAGTCTGTAAGCTGGAAGTGGAGTCCGTCGGTTGGTCTGGACCACAGGATCGGCACTCAGGGTAAATCCGGTCGTTCTGGAAGCTGAAACTCTTAGTTGTGCCGTCGTTGCAACCTAATCAAGTGGCCTGCGAAGAGGTGTCACATCGCTGAGTGAATGAGAAAATGATGGAAGACCAGTTGGTAGCTCAAGTAACAAACTGGTATTACTCACGGCTTGACAACATGGATTCGTGCGCAAATGTCCGTTTCTGTCTACACTTTTCTTCCTGATGGCAAACGTATCCACCCCGAACGAAAAAGTTTCACGATCGGGCGGAGATGTTGAGGTATGACATCTTGATTTATAAACGGCCTCCGATTAAGCCCACTACACTTTGTCATCGATTAGAAGGAAGTCCTTTAAGTCCTTGCACTGGGTGGAAGGGTTGCTTGAGCAAGTTCAGTTTGGAAGAAGCACTACGCTAAAGCGCAGGGTTCTTAAACGCAAAGTAGCGTTAGGTATCAGCAAAGGGCCACGGAGCTTGGTGCTAAGAACACCGCCGACTCATATTAACGTAAAGTAGCCAGTGAATAACCTCCATATTACTCAACGCAGGTTTGTGAAGCCAATCCGAGGCTCAACACACACAGATGCCCGATAGGAATTGATAAGGTTTACGCCGATACTATAATTTTGACGTCACGATTGAGCAGCCACGAGTGTCAGCGCCTTATTAGCGTGAATATTTCGATTCAGTCTTCTGTCCGTCAGAGACGCGTCCGATGCCAAGTTATGTATGAATTCAGGGGTCTTGGAATGCTTATTTTAAAGTCCAAAAGCAGAAGACTACAGTTACTCTGCGAACGCTTAAGGGCCTGCGTGCGTTCAGCTTCATTGTTCTAAACGTTTTGTACGCCTATGGACACGGGACTCTATAAGAAGCACTAAAATGCTTGAGTTACTAAAATTCATTTTTCGTTTCCCAGAATTGTCCAAAAAGGCCAAGTAATCTTTGACGGGCTCAAGTGATAATCTTGTCAAAGCAATGGAGATAGCGGACGACTTCGATGCTATCCAGTATTTGGTCGTCCTAGAGTTAAGGGGAATGATTGGGTCTATAAAATAAAAGAGAGCGAAAACGCAGTGTCCTTCGCTTTTAAAATTATCAACAGCGGAAGGACAACCACTGAAGTCAATTGACAGCTCAGACGGTGAAATGCAGGTATCGCTTGGACTTTGTTTCGTTCACATATGGAGACTCTGACTGATTGTTAAGGGACAACTCTTTACCTTCGTCAAACTAAATAGGATTTTTAAAAGTTTCCTCCCACAGCAACGTTCCCACACTGAAACATTTGGGGGGACAGTAACGAGGGCCTGGCAAGGAGCACCAAATATGTACATGCGCGATTGTCGTAAGAAAGACGCTTTTCACGCCGTTTGTGGCCACCCCGAACTATTCTGCAGCGTTACAGAGCAAATAAAAGATCACAGCTCATGTTTTTCACTCCACACCTCAGGTCATTGTTGAGACCAACAAGTGAGAGAAACCGAACATAATTTCAGCTTAACTTTCTACACAGTAACCACTGCTGAGAGGCGCATAGCTATGAACTGCGCTTCCTTCAATTAAGTGGTTCTTCCGAAATCGAGTTTGAGCACCGATGGAGTGATTCGCATTCACGAACGGAAGTTACTGCGTTGTACTGTGACAGGAAATTACCCGGGCGGGCTAGATCCACTAATGCTCCCAACCAGGTCGGGAACAAAGAAGTGACCTTGAACTAGAAGTGTAGACCGCAGTTAGGTTCATCAGGTAGAATGGTTAAAATAAACAGTACTTACCACGGTTGAGTATGGAGGGTGTTGGACTGAGAGTTCCAGTAATGAGGGTTAAAATTATCACGCCAGCTTCCAGGATTTCAGACCGCAGCATTTCACTTTAATGGAGGAAACAAAATTTTCCAGAGATAGTCTGCTTTTTGGCGAAGAGCTAGTCCATACAAGAGGCTAATAACTGCCACTGTGAACGTTTTCATTGACTGACCATAGGTGAGGGTAGAAATAGAGATTTTGTGCATCTTCCGAACTTTTCTGGGTGATCGCTTGACTTCCCGCAGGTGGCTGGACTTTTTACTGCGGGGCGCCAAGATACATTTATTTCACGCAGGCTTGCGTTTTTGAATAAGCTCAAACAATTTTATTTCTCAATAATCGGCTCCAAGTGATTTCGTAACAACGTTGCCACGACCAATAACCTAAACCGACCAAAATCTAACCCCAGTTCCGATTATGTCTCATGGAGCTGTTGATCTATTTAGGGAGAAGCTGCAAATACGCTTAAGATAAATCCCAATGGTTTCTTCAGTTTTACTGCCAAATTATTCCATCTACTGCGTGGCAGTCTGTATCATGCTAAAGTTTCTTTTGCAAACCGTTACGGGGTTGTCAAAGTAGATTAAAACACCGAAACCCACTGGGATGAGGAGTGCTGCAAAGGTGAATATACTATCTTTCGATTCTCATACACATTTCGCATCCTAGCTCTTAAGGCTTTGAATCTGAACTTCCTTTTAAACTCTTCAAATGGCCTATTTTACAGTAAGCATGCAGGATATACGACGAATATACCGGGCCTCTTAAAAATTGTTACCTGGCCACAAAGAAAGTTTATAATCGCGTGAAATACCAGTACAGGAAACTCATTCGAATGACAAAAGCTTCCGAAAACTGATACATGAAAGTCATTTGGGCACAGTATAAAGTTTAAGTACGTCCAAACCACTTGAGCCAGTGCAAAAAACTGCATAAACAACACACATTTGGCTGGTCAAGGAATAGCTGCGCACATAAAAACGTCAAAGCAGAATGGCATATTAACGGATTTCACACGCACATCGGTCAATTGTGTATCGTTAATACGATCACTGATTCCGATGGCCTAAGTGAGACAAGTAAAAATGGGAGGAAGAGTAGTTCCAAGTATGGAGAAAAGTTATTCTTCAAATATCTGTTCAGGCTGAACCGGTATATACCGTGGAAGAAACGGGTTGCGAAGTTCTAACCGTTTACAGACGTCGGCGAACAAAGTTTAAATCCTTAAGCAGGCCATACGCAAGTATTCATTAAAAAGTTTTTGGTAAAGTGAAAATTCTAGGAGCTGCTTTTGGTTATAACGCTAAATTATGATGTTCTTATACACCAAGATGTTTAGATGTTGCGTAAATCGTTTCTTGCTAGGGCTCCCTTCCATTATTTGAATGCCTCTCCCTTGCAGAACAATTGACGACGATGACCTAAAGCGAAGGTATAAATGCGCCACTTACAATCAACTTAGACCTCTACGCAAACAAACAACATACGGTAGAAAAGAAACTTGTTTTTAGCCGGATTACCGTTGGACAAAGATCGGGTAGTGTCTGGCAGGAAAATCACGTGAAAAGTTTAGAAGCACGCGCAGCCAGTCAGATTAGATCTGCGCTTGATGTCGCCTGTGGTTATGGGAGAGGCAAAACAATATTTTTCTAGAGATAATCCCTAGTCTAATAACGACGTACGTAAGTGGTGTTGCTCACCAGTCCGGAGTTTTGTGGTTCCTAACGTAATGTCCAATCGTTAGAGGCATCAGAAAGGTGCGGTGTTTGTTTAAATTAAGACTTGACTAATTATTTTTAGCGACTTGAAGCTGTGTGCACTTGTATTTGATAATTTACATGCCCCATTCAACAGGGCCTTCGAGGGTCAGTTGGCATTCCTTAGTTCAAAGGCAGAAATCTAACTTCTGGCCACAAGGGAATTTTTGAATAAAAATTTTAGGGTTCGTGCTGCCATGCAAAGCTGAGTGTCGTTGTACTATGGTCTCCAGGAAAAAAACCATGTTGATCTGCTTGTGTGCAAACGATCATTTTGCACCCCTGAATACGGCCGGAGTTTTTATTTTCCAGATTGATAAATTTCACCACGCGCTGGATCACTGATGAATCAAGAACACTTGTTGACTGGTGTACCTTACTAACGGGCCAAGCATTCAAATGGATTTCACCGAATATGGGCCCTGTTGAGTCTTCTTACCCATCTTGCGCTAGCTCACTATATGGCGATGCTCGATCTCTTTCCCCTGGAGTACCGTCACCTCCGAGGTGACCTAATTCTCAATTGTGCCCTGTTTGAACGAAGCTTGGCAAACAGGTTTTTCACCGTTGACCCTGCAAACACACGGCGGGGATATAGTAAAAAAATTTTCAAGCTGAGAACACACACATTCATTAGACAAAATTTTTTCTCATTTCGGGTAGTAGGTGCGTGGACTGACCTTCCTCCGACGGCTGTTCACGCTCCTTCTAGAACCCAATTTAAAGCACTATTTGTGCGAATCCTCGCGGTGGCGAGCACACTGCTCCGCGCTGAGAACATAAAGAGCAGTGCTACACCCTTGCACTTGTGCCTTTCAGGTGAACGACAGCCGCTGACCGACAAGAACAAAAGCGATCGGGAAACTTGGCCAATGGCCGTGAATCCGTGATGACTTACGAAAAATGCTGAGTGCCGATATTTTAGCGGGTGTTTTGCGATAGGCGAATTATCACACGGGTGGGCTCCAATGGTTTGGTGAGAACACATCTATGGTCGTTTAAAATCACATGGTTTGATTCAAAAAACTAATTTTTCGGATACACCCGCAAGATTTCTTCCAGTGGCCGAACAAACAGTCAACCGAGTAATTCAGCGGGCTTAGGTTAAACTTCTAAAGTTATGAATAGTTAGAGAGTCCGTAACTTTATTTGGTCCCTTATTCAAAACGGACAATTTTTATGACATTCAGAGACAGTATACTTTGTATGACTTATTTTTGCCCGGTAATTTGCCCCTTTCCAACAGATCGTGGAGCAGATTTCTTATATAAGAATTAACCACTTGCAACCAAATCCTGGTCATCCTTATCGATGATGGTAGCACAGGAACTGCGAGCAAAATAGTCGTAACGAGTTGATGGGCGAGATGAGAGCACCACATTCATACATTCAGTCGCTCCCAACGTTGCCACGACCAATAACCTAAACCGACCAAAATCTAACCCAAGTTCCGATTATGTCTCATGGAGCTGTTGATCTATTTAGGGAGAAGCTGCAAATACGCTTAAGATAAATCCCAATGGTTTCTTCAGTTTTACTGCCAAATTATTCCATCTACTGCGTGGCAGTCTGTATCATGCTAAAGTTTCTTTTGCAAACCGTTACGGGGTTGTCAAAGTAGATTAAAACACCGAAACCCACTGGGATGAGGAGTGCTGCAAAGGTGAATATACTATCTTTCGATTCTCATACACATTTCGCATCCTAGCTCTTAAGGCTTTGAATCTGAACTTCCTTTTAAACTCTTCAAATGGCCTATTTTACAGTAAGCATGCAGGATATACGACGAATATACCGGGCCTCTTAAAAATTGTTACCTGGCCACAAAGAAAGTTTATAATCGCGTGAAATGCCAGTACAGGAAACTCATTCGAATGACAAAAGCTTCCGAAAACTGATACATGATAGTCATTTGGGCACAGTATAAAGTTTAAGTACGTCCAAACCACTTGAGCCAGTGCAAAAAACTGCATAAACAACACACATTTGGCTGGTCAAGGAATAGCTGCGCACATAAAAACGTCAAAGCAGAATGGCATATTAACGGATTTCACACGCACATCGGTCAATTGTGTATCGTTAATACGATCACTGATTCCGATGGCCTAAGTGAGACAAGTAAAAATGGGAGGAAGAGTAGTTCCAAGTATGGAGAAAAGTTATTCTTCAAATATCTGTTCAGGCTGAACCGGTATATACCGTGGAAGAAACGGGTTGCGAAGTTCTAACCGTTTACAGACGTCGGCGAACAAAGTTTAAATCCTTAAGCAGGCCATACGCAAGTATTCATTAAAAAGTTTTTGGTAAAGTGAAAATTCTAGGAGCTGCGGTTAGTTATAACGCTAAATTATGATGTTCTTATACACCAAGATGTTTA